GAAGGAGGGCATGAACGAGATGGAAAAAGAAGAGGTAAAAAAAAAAAGAATTCACTTAGGTAGGGTAAAAAGGGAGTTAAAAGATTTATAGACATGGACACCAACATAAATACCATGAAACATACGTAACGTAGAAAAAATATATTATTTACTACGCTAGTAAGTCAGATACCGTTAAAGAAAATTAACAAAGAAAAAAAAATTTGTCACATATTAAAAAAATTAGGTCAAAGCAAAAAAATAATTAAAAAAATTGTTGAATATTTTTATATGATTCACTGAATATTTTACTATTTGAACGAACAATAAAAATATATTTTTTTCTAATTTTTTTTACAACATATTTTTCTTAATCTTCTTGCATATATACATCTTAAAGAAAAAGGGAGGCAATGTTTTATTGCTAAAAATGGAAAATTTTAAAATTAAAATTCCAAATCATAAGTGAAACTATTAATTAATTAATTAATAATTTTGATTAAGTATCGGAACTACAGCTTTGTGAAGACAGGTTGTGTAAGGTTTCTGTCCAATCCTCATTAATTATATATATATATATATATACGTAATTCCAAATGCACATATTTCTTGACGAAGAAATTAATATATATATATATGTATATGTATATCATTAGTTAAAAATTAATTTATTATTGACCAAGAACTTATCATAATACTAAAGTCATGGTAGTCGTATGTCTAAAGTTAAATGTAAGTTCAAGTTATGTGTTATTTATTTATTAAAATTTAATTTAATTTTCAAAGTTAGGTGGGATATCTTTCATTTTCTTCCATTTTCCCTCTAATTTTATAATATATTAATTTTACCCTTGAAAAATGTACATGAAATGGTATGATAGCCAATAAACCTACAAGATGTATGACTAATTTGGCAGATGCAATTCAATGCTGTTTCCAGTGCTTATTCGTCTCTCCCACTTACGGAGTATATATATATATATATATGTGTGTGTGTGTGTGTGTGTGTTTGTAGAGTTATTAGCCAAGTAAGTGAATAAAAATACAGTATATGTACATATATATATATATATTATATGAACTGTAAGGTAGAAATTAAAGAAACACTTGTTGGAATCCGGCAAGATCCAAAAATAATTCATTTAGCACAGAGGAATTTATTATTCGAAATCGACCAAATTGACATTTCCCCAGAAGTGTATTAATGCCAGTATAGTGCTTTGAATGATCCTAAAATTTGTCATGCTTAATAATGCTTAGTCCTTTTCGTTCTGATGATGTGTTTCTGTTCATTAATTCTACGTTCAAATTCCTATATATATATATATATATACATATATGCATGTATACGTTGTAGGATAGGAACCCCTAAGAATAAATCCCAGACCCATGATCTCATTAATTTGACTCAAATCTAATTTTCAAGCTTCTTTTTATGGCAATGACCACCACCAAAACTAACAGTGACAGCTATATATACAGATATAAATACATGTACGTAAGCACTGATTCATGATCAATCTACTGTTTGATATATACAGGATTTTTACACACTGTTTAGCATTGTTGAAGAACAGAATGATCAACAATGAAGACTGGAATGAAAGTTGAAAGTACTACATATTTCATATGCAATCATGTGATTATTGACTATAATTCTATAAGCTGTCGGTTAAATCCCTAAAATTACTTATAAAGATAATAATAAATATATATATATATATATATCAGTTCATATTCGCTTCATAATTTATGTTTGATATGTTTATATATATGCACATGCATAAATCCTATACATGTCTAATTATTTAAACTTAACCCAAATTCTAATGACATCGCGTGTGTGTGTATATTGAAGTATGCATGCATGTTTGATAAATGCATGTAAAATCTTGTACGAACAGTAGCAAAGTATGGACCATACAAGACAACATGAGGTAACTTTGGTGGCTTTTGTGAAGCATTGATGATTGTTTTGACTGAATTAGTTTGACCAAATCTGTATCTTAGCTAGGCAGATCCTTATATGTATATATACATATGTGTATGTATATATATATATATATATATGTACATGTAATGGAAGAGAAAATTAGACATGAATTTTTGGATTTATTCATAATTGCAATGATGGGCAGAAAAGCAAAAGTTTCATATATAGTAGAATATATGCTGTAGGCTGGTGAGTGGACTGAAGAACCTGTGCAGTTCTAATTTTAGAACTCTTGTCTCCATTGATTGAATGCTGCCGCATAGAATTCTAATGGATTGCTGATTTGTTTGTCAACAAAAGTTTGGGATAATAGTTTGAAAGATTCCATATGAGGATGAAAACCATAATATATATATATATATAATATAAGAGTAATATTATCATATATATATATATATATATATATATTACCTACAGCTATCTTTTGACTCTTGACACCAATTGGTTTCAAACCCAGAACATGCATGTGGTCCTTTCACATAGAAATTTGTTCTTCAATATTGTTGAATTTTGTACATAAGTTTACACATATATACATATATATATATATATAAAATTCATAATTCAAGGTCTGAACTAATAATTTATATTAGAAAAAAAAAACACTAGTTACTTATTATATATTATTTTTGATCTTCTAAGTCATCAGAGCTCA